AATATATATATTGTATAAATCATCAGAGTTGTATATGTATTTCTGAGAACTACAAACCCAACGTCCATAGGCGTAATTAAAACGACAGTCCTTCCACTTAGTTGATATCAAATGGTAATAAACAAAAGACTACATCTGGTATAATGAAAAGCAACATTAAAGGATTTATACCGCCATCTCCTGGAAGACATGAGTAAAACAGGAAATGACAAAATAAAAGTATTCCAAAATCTTTGCATGAAAAATATACAAATGTGAATGTCAACATAAAACATTCAGCTTGTGCAAACAGGTAAGAATTCATCTCATATTAATTGTTTCTTGAGGCCACTCAAAATGTGTTAATTTAAACATAGGACAGCGAGAGTGAAAAGGAAACAATCTAAACGTCTGGGAGAAAGTCAACCAAATTGCAATGTCCAAAAAATATCTAAATATTTTAATGCATTTCAGTGTCAAAACCATAGACTGTATATATGGTCAAAACATGTTTAAAGTACATTATTGTTTAACTCTTGCATGCAGGTCATGATGCAGGTGCACCAATGTGCTACAAAGTCTCACCACAGGTTTCACTGCAGGTCATGAGAAAACGGCAAGCCAGTAAACATGGATGTAAACAATGCTGTATTTAAAGTCCTTTAAATAACCCTCAAATTACTTCCTTGTGTTCTTATGCAAACAATAACATCCAAGTTGCAAAATGTCATCACTATCATTATATACATGATGAATTGGAAATGGGGGACCCTGATGTAAACAAGACGAAAGTCTTTCTCTGGTCTGCATCCCCTTAACAATTGTATGTTTTGAGCTGTACTGTACTGTACCCAATATACAAGCTGTTAATAAACTTTTCAATCAATCAATCAATCAATATCCTTTTAGATGTGCGTTGGTGTCCCATATAAGAAATAATAACCACGTAATGCCTCTATCTTCTTCTTTTTAAATATAGGCCTACTGACTAACATTACTTACCTTACATGCTTCTATTTTCACAAGCCACTGGGTCAAAATTAAGGCTCAGAAATAGTCGTTTCGAGGAGAAACGGAACATAATGTTTGTGGTCTATGTTCCAACCGAGAATATTTACGAGTGGGACCTTTAGCGGAATTTACTATTCAACAACCGTTTGCCGCAAATGTACGCCCTGCGTTAGTAGGAGCTGTAAGGAGTGAGCACAACCATTACGCAAACAGCGTAAATCGAAAGCGGCAGTCTGTTCTTCATTGATAACAGTAGAGCAGCCTGTCTGTCACTGGGCGTTGGTAACAGTTAAGTGATGTGACTTGTGTTTTTTTATGAAGATATTTGTCTCAAGTGTGATAAACAAAACGTTAGAAGAGCTTTATGTATCGCTAGCTTTGTGAAATGAAACAGCCACCGTAGAAAACAAGAGCGCAGACAACACATCGTCTAGCTAACACTAGCTATTACTAGCTGAAACTGAATCAACGAGTTTGATATTCTCATTGTTTGACATAATCTTTATGACATTTCAGAGTAGAGACCAGATGGAGAAAATGGCTAAGCGGATGATCACCCAGGAAACCTTCGATGCTGCTGTCAGGGAAAACATGGAGGAGTTTGAGATGGATCCTGATGAGGCTCTGAAGGATGCTGTGGAGCAGTTTGAGTCTCAAGGTAACAGAGCTACAAAGGACGATGGCTGGTATTTAAGGAGTGAACAGTTTTGTTGATAGTCAGACTGTATATTATTATCTTAATGAAGCCAAACCTATCATATAGGTAAACTTTAGGTGAAACATATGAATTATTTACAACCTTTTTTTCATCAGCAAAGGCCATACAGATCAAACTTTGTTTTACAAATAGTGCCTTGATTACAGTATACCAAACAAGAGAAGCACACACACGTTACAGTATACATTTACAAATTGTACAACAACCCAGCTAAATACCTAGCATACATCAGGGAAAGGAGATATACTTGTAGGGAAACACATTCAAATTAAATACTTGCATTTACACTTCTATATGTAAGCCAACAAATTGATCGAAAGGGATAGTGTGCCGTTGTGACCCATGCTATTCTAAATGTTCTAAAATGGCAATAGCTGGTTCACGAAGACTCTGATCAATTAAAAATCTCTTAGTATAAGAAAATAAGTATTATATAGTATCTTTCCTTTCCATTCATTTAGTAACTGACTTTACTTAAACGTTGTTCCATCAACCCACACACAAGATAAAGCTGGATAGTGACTAACAATGTTTTAAAGTTCCTTATTGGAAAGTTGATAACAAGTTTTACCATCAGCCCACAAAATAGTTTAAAGTATTCATCCACACCTGTTTTCTGTGTCGATGCAGGTGTGAACCTCAATTGTATAATACAAGCTGTACCACCAGTATCATCTGATGGCAAACAAGAGCCAACACATGAAGTCTTAAAGGTAATCCTAATTTGAGAAAAAGGGATTACTGAGTGCAAAAGTTTCACAATCTCACATCTGTTTTCTACTTTCAGGTTTTGAATTCCCTCTGCATTGTAAAAGATTCAGCCAGTGTGCAGGATGTGAAGGCAGATTTAAAACGCTTTACCGAGCTTTGTTCACTTGAACTTGCCCAGAGGTACCTGGCTGCCCAAAAAGACGCCTACCCCGTCATCCTCTCTTACTGCAAAAAGGGTGTGGAGGAGCAGGAAGCTGTGTTTACCGCTCTCTCCGCCCTGGCTGCCCTGACAAATGGACAGCCAGACTTGTTGAATGCAGAGGGCCAGCAATTCCTTTTGAATATCCTCAAGAAGTACAAGGCAGAGTCCTCTGTGACACGTGTAGCCTTAACCACCGTCCGTCAATGCTGTTTGAAACATGAACAGAACAGGCAGGATTTGGTCAAAGCTGGCATCCTGCCTCTGCTGACCGGTGCCATCAAACAACACGGTGAAAGTGCTCAGATCGTCAAGGAGGCCACTGCAGCTCTCAAGGTCATGACCTTTGACGATGATGTCCGAGTTGCCTTTGGGCAAGCTCATGAACACGCAAAGATGATTGTTCTCGAGAATAGTGGACTGAAGGTTTTAATTGGGGCTGCGAAAGGTAAGGCCCGCTGATGAATAGTTGTTTCAGGTGTTTAGCATGATATCTTTAACCACTTTAGTTTAAAAAAACAAAACGAATTCTGATGATATCCTTTGTTTTTCCCTCACAGCTCACCTTGATAATACTTCTGTTCTGAGTGAGCTGTGTGCAACGTTGTCCCATCTGGCTGTGAGGAATGAGTTCTGTCAGGACATCTGTGACCTGGGGGGATTGAAACTCATCATGACGCTGCTTGCGGAAGGCTATGAGAAAGCGGTAACCTGCTTAAAACATGGCGATGTTTTACAGACTGTCAGGAATATATGTTCACTGTGTATGTTATGCTCACTGAACTGGTTTATCATTGCAGGAGTTGATTCGGCAGGTCTTTAGTGCGATACGGGCCATAGCAGGAAATGACGACGTGAAAGACGCAGTTGTTAATGCCGGTGGAGTCCAGCTCATTGTCATTGCCATGAACCGACACATGAACAATTCCGCTGTGAGTAAAATGTCATACCTGTAGCATTTAACACAGATTGATGCTTACAAATATTATAATTGGTTGTTTTTTGCTTGATAAAAATGTAATTGAGTAGTGATTTAATTCTGGAAAATGTCCTAAGATTATGTTCATGTTCTACTGTAGGTGTGTGAGCAAGGCTGTGCATGTCTCTCGGTGCTTGCTCTGCGTAAACCGGAAAACTGTATAGTCATCATGGAAAATGGAGGTGCCTTGGCTGCTGTGCAGGCTATGAGGACACATACCAATTCGATCAATGTCCAGGTATTATATCCATATTCCAAGGTCATTCATTTTCATTAATATTTGTACCTAATACAAATCAGGCCTTTTTATGTTTGCCAACAATCTGTCCATGTTTTCTTTTTTTAAATCAGAAACAGGCATGTATGCTGATGAGAAACTTGGTTGGCCGTTTGAGTAACCTAAGCCAACCAATCCTGGATCTGGGCGCAGAGGACCTGATAAACCAGTACCTCAAGACCCATCAAGACTGTGGAGATGTGGGTAAAGCAGCCCTCAGAGATCTTGGATGTCACGTGGAGCTCCGAGAGCTCTGGACCGGCAAACATGGCAGCCTCACCCAGTGAAAGTAAAGAAGAGCATTAATGTACATCCTTACAGTGAGCCTAAAGCTTCTTTTCAGGCAAGAAAACATGTTATGTTGGAATAGCCAAGAGTTTAAGCTGGTGCATCTACCCAGTTTGACACATTTGTTAAAAGGAGAGGATGTAGAACAAATATTTGTAAGAAGGCCACCTGTCCGACACAACGCCTTTGAGAGGTCATTGTAGTCCAGGTAATCATGTTTTGTTTGCTCACAAATCCTCTGTTGCCCAATTTTATATCTGTACCATATTTTTGTTGATAATATGTAGATGTTAATTTCTTACTTTTGGTGCCATGGGTTTATCTTAATAAATGTATTTGCTGCTATGCAAACATTTTACCTGCACTGGTTTGTGCAGTCTCTTTGCAGCCACATGTACATGTATTGAATGAATTATACTTTTACTAGATCTAAACATTTCGTTTGTATGTGTTTCGTTTGTTTATCCATTATTACAATTTAAATTAAAATCTCTGATAGTAAGATCTACCATTGGCAACTGTACTGAACATTTAGTATTGATTTTCTCAGTTTGACTGTTATAGTGACTCACTATTGTTAATTGTTGTGACTTTTATTTAAGATACCATACATTGATACATACATACGTAGGAGCTGTTACAACTGTTAATACAACTCTGCCTGTTACTGAGCATCAATAAAGTACTTCACGAACAAGAAAAAAAACAAGGCTATAGTAAGCAAGCTTGTTGCCAAGTGTGTCTTCTGCTCACGCCCCTCTACCGACCTATCCAAACCTATGATCCAAACATGCCCCTCCTCGTTGGGACTTCATTTCCCAGAATGCCACCGCGCTCCTCCTTATCCAGCCTCACTGTGGCTAACGTTAACCTCCTCGGGTCGTTGACAGCAGTAGTAAGGGCATAAATAAGACAGCCACTCACTTAAAGTCACTGCAGACCTGAGGGTTATGAGAAACGTGTCGTTACACCAGGAGACATTTTTAGAAAGACACTTAATATTTCCACAGCTGTGTCGACGAGATAACATTAACGTTGTTTCAGTGAGCTAACAGCTAGCTAACTTGCTAACGCGTTCGCTAACTTGGAAAAAGCTTTCGAAAAACCTGCTAGAAACTCGAAACAACGCACCAAGTGAAGGATATAAATGTATCAGACATATTCGTGATGGTGTTTAAGGTAAGAAATGTAACGTTAGTTTTAATCTACTGACAGCTAGCTGGCTGCTCAGGGTGTCAAAAAAGAATAAAAACAATTATTTACTCCAAACATAAATATAAACCAAAGAAACAAAAAGTACAATGAAAATATGACATGATAAACTACAGCATATGATATTGCCTAATGTTTCAACAACGTATAAATACCAGGAGGTATACACAACGCATGATTTAATTCAGTCACATACAGCTACACCACAATTATTGATTTTATAATTTAAATTGTATTTAGAGCTGAAAAAAGGTTGAGAATCCTACAGTCCATTGACAGACTTGATTGTCAATGTGATTTGATTGTAAATGGTGATTATTTTATGATTTATTTTGGTTGATCTGAACAAAACTCAAATGTTGAAGATGTCTTCCTAGACTCAGGAAAATTGTGAGCACTATTCAGTCCAAGTAAATTACATTCACACATACGTTTGACTGATGATTATGGCCATGTAGGTTACTTAGCTGAGAAAACAGTTTGCTAAATGTCTCAGATAAATAGTTCACACACAGAGATGTTTGTGTTTTATGAACGCTATCAAACCACAGGTACTGCTCTTCTTCTCGACTCCTGAGGCACACTAAATGGGTAGAGTTAAAAGGATATGCAAGGGGAGGAATGAGGGAAGGTCCCGGAGCAAGGACAGTGTGTGAGGTGAAAGGGGTGTTAGGTCAGCACTCATTTGAGGATCTGGCTTGAAGCCCTGCGGTCCTGAAGCCAATATCAGTTGCCCACGACTACACAGCCTTTCAGCTGACACTGTTTGCTCTCTTGTCTCATGGCTTTCTCTCTTCCTCTTGTTTTCTCTTCGCTGTTTCTAAACTCCTTCAAGTGGAGTTTACAAAAACCCCTCCAGTAATAGCCTAGTCCTTGTTTGAAAGCTGTATCAGTCTTATATTGATTGAACTATTTAAATGAGAGGTGCCATCTTTTCATGGCTGCACTGTAACATTCAACAACATAATTGTGTCTAGTACTGACAAAGCCATTTGGAAAAGACAATTCAATTGAATATAACGTGTAACTAAATGTTCTCTGGGAACAGTTGACAACAACATACGCATTATATAAACTATGTGGAAACAAATCTAAACCCTAAATGATCTCAACATCAAGAAATGATTAATAAAGTAACTACAACAGACGAATCAGTCCCTATTTTTGGCTGTTTTGTGGAAAATATGTATACTACAAACCTTATTTAAGAGTTAAATAATAGTCTTTAAAATAAGTATTGCAGCCTAGCTTTTAACTTTGAATATGTTCTCATGCAGTTCAGGTTGATATATTTGAAAGCTTTTAAATAGTGACTGTGAGAGTACAGTTGGCTTGAGCGTTGCTCAGCTGTGAACAGTGTGCAGCGAGCCTGTGGGGTGAAGGTTGCATGAATAGGTTTGTCCAGTAGAATGAAGAACATGCAGCCATCTTTGTTTGTTAAGGCAATGAGATCCCACATCTCATGATAGTCTGCAGTGACTATCAATACAAGAAAGACCTGATTGTACAGAGATAATACTGTCCTCTGGTATGTTAGCGATGAAGAGGGTTAAATGGTTCTCTTGTTTTTCTTTTTTAAAAGCTTTGCTCACACATCACCTTTCACCGACAATTCTTCAAGAGATTGTTTGTGTGTAACTTACTTCACACATTGTACTTTGCCCATTAGCTTTCTTAAGCTGGCATAGGTGTGGCAATTGGGTAAAAGGTAACTGGATGGTTCTTCAGGGAAAACACAAGGTTGTTTTAACAGTATCTTGTTAGTAGATAACCCCCTCTCTCAGTCATTACATGCTGACATGACTTGAATACATTTGTACTCATTTTGCCACATGATCAAATCTAGCTATGCTCCTGTATGTAAAATATTGCTTTGTAGACAGTGTTGTCATGACAGGCTTGTCACTCGATCCTGACACGGACGCTCAGCCACCAACACATCTCGTCAATTGTTTTATATTTAGGCTAACCTAAAACTGACCTCTCTTCTCTCTCTCTCCTCTCTCTCTCTCTCTCTCTCTCTCTCTCTCTCTCTCTCTCTCTCTCTCTCTCTCTCTCTCTCTCTCTCTCTCTCTCTCTCTCTCTCTCTCTCTCTCTCTCCCTCCTCCCCCCCCCCCCCCCTGGTGGTGCTGCCCCTGTCTGCAGCAGTTGAATTCATGAGCAGGTTCAGTGACAGCAGTGCGTAGTCCTCCGGGATGGGGAGTGGAGTCCAGGAGCAACGGGCCTCACTACAGGGAGAAGTGCTGCCAAACATCCACCCCAAAACAAAGGTTTGCTTTCATGTTTGGATTTGACTATATTATTATGTAGAATTAAATAAAAAGTGATTATCTGGTAACGTAGAATAGCAGATTTAGAGAGGCTTTCCAAATGTTATTTTGCTGTCAATGTTTCATCTGTGTTTTATTTGTGGAAGGTGCTCTCTGCTAAGTACTTTGTTGTATTGTATGCCTATGAGATAAGATATGCCTCATAGATGAGATTTTTCTGTATAACTTTTATACAGATTTAAGTTAACTGTCAAAGTGAGATGGACACGCGTTTACAACCTCCCACAGTTGATATGGTGGGAGTTTTTTTTTGGACACTTCAACCCAAATTGCTCCTGTGGGGATTGCCCACAGTATTGAATGTATGTAGTTTCATTTCATGTAATGTTATATATGGGAGGCAAACAAGGAGATAATAGATTTGGGACCTGGTAAAAGTATATGTGTGTAGATGCTTTCTTTACTTCCTTTAAGGCAGTGGTTCTCAAAGTGGGGGGCAGAGGCATGCCAGGGAGGGCGCGAGAGACCAGGAGGAAAAATGGTTATTAAAAAAAATCATAAATTGAAATATTATTGATTCGAAAATAATATGATGCAGTACTATTACGTCTGGGTCTCTGTGTTTCATTAAACTCGGCTGTGTGTGTGGAACGAGCCATTTTGTGTGCACGAGCGAGAGAGAGAGCACCGGTACCGGAGATCGTTGTTGTTAGCTTCTGGTGCTAGCGAGCTACGATAACGGATATAAGGAGTTTTTTCAACAACAAAGTGGAGGAGAGTCCTCTCCTGTCAGACTGAGAGACTCAGTGAGCTAAAGGACTCTCAGTGTTATCTCACTCAAAAGTTTTGGTCACCATTAATGTAAACAATTATTTCCGAGGCACACGTTTATATGATCATTATAGTTATAAAAAAATAAGAGAATAAATGAAAAACAGCTATGAAATACTATATGACAGTAAAACTAGAATAACGTTTAAAAGGGTGATTTGTAAAATATCCATAAAGAAAAAGTAAATCTGTTTACAGTTCTGTTTCATCTGGGTGTTGAGAGAGGTATCCATAGATCTCTTCATGTTGCTCTCAAAGTGCACCAGATTGATGCTTTTAACTTCAATATTTAAAAATAAATCTTCCCGGGGGAGCTTGCCCCCAGACCCCCCTATGTGACATCCACACACCACCTATAAAAATAGCACTTTACCCCTGCTTATGCCGTGAGCTGATTATCGAGCCTTCATTGTAACAGTCGCGGTACATTGTGTATATACGTGGGGAGTGTTGCAGTAGAACATTCCTCTGTGGCGACCGGTACATTAATGGGAAACCCTAAATGTTTGAGCACCCTCTATGAAACGTCAAGCTACCCCACAGCACCCCCAAAAGAAGTCTCTGGCGCCGCCACTGAGCCTGACTTTGTGTTGGGGGGGGGCCTGACTTTGTTTTTTCTCCAACCACTGCATTAAGGACATCTTCTCCCATTTGTGAGCCGGCCAGTCACCTATTATCCTTTCATAACTCCGGTTTAATGATCAACAGCATCTCAAACACTACTTTGTTCACATAAGGAGGCACTTTTTCAGGCCTCACTCTGTTAGTGTTGCTGACCCTAAATGAGATTCCTCCATCGCTGTGCAGGACCTGCAGCAGACGCGCTCCATCCTCAACTCCATCTTCTCTGGAGCTTTAGCGGGCGCTGTGGCCAAGACAGCTGTCGCCCCATTGGACAGAACCAAAATCATCTTCCAAGGCAAGTGTGGATCTATTTTTAGATAAGAAACAACCCACATTGATCTATCTACAACTGCTTTTGTGTTTTAACTGGGTTGCTCTTGCATTCCGATTAATGTCAAGTTTATTTATATAGCACATTTAAAACAACCTCAGTTGACCAAAGTGCTTTCCAGTTTTAAAATAAGACAATCAGCAATCAATAAAAGAATAAAGACATACTTGTACACAGGTAAACATAGATAATATGAATAATGTGAATATTTATATTGCACATATGTTTTGTTTTTTAGTGTCTTCAGATAGATTCTCTGGTAAGGTAAGTTTGATCACAATTCTATAGTTTCTTGGTTAAACAATTGTCTGATTCTCATTCATAACAAGAGATCAATTCACAAAACTAAAGTTGAATTCACGGTTAATAGTTCTCATTTGGACCTTTTTAAAGAATACATCACAGGAACACGTTTTACAGACACAAATCTGAACAACAATAGCTTGTCATCAATCAATGTGTGTGCATTACATTCCAGGAGGCCTACAGGTTGATCTACCGCACCTACCTGAAGAATGGCTTCTTCAGCCTGTGGAGGGGGAACTCTGCCACCATGGTGCGAGTCATCCCGTACGCTGCCATCCAGTTCTGTGCGCACGAGCAGTACACGAGGATGCTGGGAGGCTACTACGGCTTTCAGGGGAAGTGAGTGTCAGGGTATATTGATAGATGTCTCGACTGTTGTTTGTTTTTAACCCTTGTGTTGTGTTGGAAAGCTGTTACCGTTCATGGTGTTCGCGGGCCATGATTTGTTTCAGTCCAAAACACAAAAATGACTATCATCCAATATTGTTTTAACTACATAATAACTAACTTATTATGTATTCATAACCGTACAATCCTGTTGTCATTTTATTGTATGGCCCCAAAACACATTACACCACATATTGCACACGTTGCATGTTCAGGTTCAAGTGTGAGTGTACATATTCTTTGAGAAAGGTGGAGTTCCCGTGGGGGGAGGGGAGACCAGGTGCATGTTGCGAACAATTATTGTTACAGTGGGTGAAGGGGTTGCGGAGGGGTGTCTAAAGTCAAAGATGAGTCTTGATTGGGCCACATTTGACCCCGAGTCACCCACAACAATGCAGCTGGGTCTTCCCAGACCCCAACACCAAATGATACACTTTTCTTTTAGAGACCTTCAGACTTGGCTAAAATGGTCAAAATCAGTTTTGTAGTGTTGATATAGCTGTTGTGGAGGATATCATGAAGCCTTGTTCCGATACAAAAAACTAGAGCGCAGTTATTATATCATTTTAACTTGAAACGGGTCACGGGAGACCCGAACACAACATAAGGGTTACATGTAATAAGCACTCTAAAGGTTTTCTTTATGTCTGGTTGAGTAACATAACTCTGAAAGGTTTATATATGTTTCGTCCCTGTTCCAGAGTCCTGCCTCCAATCCCGAGGTTCCTGGCCGGGGCTGTGGCTGGTTTCACGGCAGTCATGCTGACCTATCCTCTGGACATGGTGCGAGCTAGGATGGCTGTAACGCCGAAAGAAATGTAAGTATCTTTCAACTTTTTTAACACTACAGCAAAACAACCAGGGACTGCTTTGGACTGTGTTGCTATGCTACACTGTTCAGGTTCAGGATTAAATATGAAACATTTGAATGAGTTGTAGAGCAATCGACTCCTCTTAGCAATTCATTCAGTTATACAATTATGATATCAACACCCGAAGGCCGTAAATACTTTGATATTAGATTTGTGAGGCATGTTGCTTTTGTTGCAGACACTTATTCAATACTATATATTTTCCAGTCTGGAAACAAATATATTTTTGATGAAGCAACTGTTAGGGAATCATTTGCTTAGGTATTCAACCTTCGACCCAGTTCATCATTTTCTCCTCTCACTGTCTCCTTTCCCATGGCATAGTTCTACGGCCTTGGGTATTGCTGCTATCTCTCTTAAGGAGGAGCAGCTTGGGAGCATTGTTGTTGCCAGTCTATGACAGAGCACAAGCCGCCATGAGGTAGTTTACTGTTCAGGGACGAAGGTTCCCTGGCGCACATTCTTTTCTATGGACGAGAGCTGTTGTTAGATTCAGGGTCCATCTTTGTTTAGTCTCACTGATAAAGAATGTTGATTATTACACTCCGAACTAGTTAAAACCTCGAGCTGCAGAAAGAGTTCTTCAGAATTGGTTTGGCAACCGCTGTGTCAACTCCACCTGTCTTGTCAATTCTCCGGCCGTAACTCAAAATAAACCGTCAGTGTTTGCCATCAAAGCTCCAGCTCTCCTCGTGTCTCTCTGAGTCCTGACTCTCCATTGCTACAGAAGTTTCCCCCACAGAAACCAAAATAAAAGTCCTGCTTCAAACAGTTTTGAATGGATACCAGTCTCGACCTCACCGGCATCTGAGGGAGTTGGGTTATTGATCAGACTTGCTGTTGTCTTTGGTGGGACTGTAGAGTATTTCCCTGAATGAAAACGGCTTTGAAATAGATGTCAGAATCTGAGGAGCTTTTTACTGCAAAATGTCCACATGTTCATTCTCATATTCCTTTTGATGTTGTTGCCTGCGCTGTTTAGGTACAGTAACATCCTGCACGTGTTTGTGCGGATATCCCGAGATGAGGGCCTGAAGACGTTGTACCGCGGCTTTGCTCCCACCATGCTGGGAGTTATTCCCTACGCTGGACTCAGCTTCTTTACCTATGACACACTGAAGAAACTACACTCAGGTAATGCACTGCCAAGTCTGATGTAATGCGTAGTTATCTCAACCTGCTTCTTTTACACTCATTGTAATGTCGCATATATGAAATGACCCTTGTTCACTTCCTCCTCTCCCATGTAGAGCCACACCGGGCGCCCAGATCCCTACTCGTATGAACGGATGGCGTTTGGAGCCTGCGCAGGACTTATCAGCCAGTCGGCCTCTTACCCTCTGGATGTGGTGCGGCGGCGCATGCAGACTGCGGGAGTCACGGGTCACACGTACGGCACCATCCTGGGCACCATGAAGGAGATTGTGGTCGAGGAAGGGATAATCCGCGGACTCTAACAAGGTCTCAGTATGAACTGGGTCAAAGGGCCCCTCGCCGTGGGGATCAGCTTCACCACCTTTGACCATACCCAGATTGTCCTGAAGAAGCTGCATGAGATGGGCTACACGGGTCGATAGTAGCGATACAGAGGGGGGGTGGGGGGGGAAATTGCTGGATGACGTGTTCCCAGTTGAACCATCTGGAGAGAAGGGAAGTTAGAGAGTGACCATGGTGTACACACACTGGCTCAGAATGCCTTATATTAATGTATTCTCTCACGTTATCGGTGTGCAGCAGAGGATGTAAGTGTGTGTGGTCTGTGGGAGGATACACACTGTTGTCATGGACAGCGAAGTGCAATATGTGCAGTGATTTTCTGTGCGTTTGTGTGAACACATGATTCATAACGCTCCTGCCCCGGTGGACCAGTCAATCTGAAAGTTCACACACACACACACACACACACACACACACACACACACACACACACACACACACACACACACACACACACTGGGGTCTCCCAACTGCCTTCGGTGTCTGCTTAAAACTGACACCTTTGAAACGCAGATTTAAACTTATTTATTTTCTAACTTTTCAAGCTGCGTTTGATAACAGTCAAATAAGCCCCCTTGAGATTTTTTTTGTGAGTGCATTTGTTTTAAGGAATGATACCAAAGGATAGTATATAAGATAGTTATAGTAGATTATATGATGTTAGTGGTGTATTTTTAAGCACAAAAGTTGTCATAGTACAACTGGAAGAGCAACAATCATGCCATTGTTGCTGCCGTCATATGCTCAGTTTTTGTTTGAGTTGCATTTATCTACAAGTGGAGCCCGCTAAAGATTGACATTATACTCACCAGTGACAACAGATATGAAGTATAAAGAGTGCCCATGTGATTTTGTTTGTTTGCACTGTGACCTATGATGGGCTTTTTAAAAGATTGTGATTGAAATGTGTGTTGTTTGAAGTACTAATACAGATGTTTAGACAGATTTATGTACCAGTTGGGAAAACAAGAAGTTAACCTCCTACAGTCCCATTTAATGCACATCAAGCAATATAATATTACATATACAGTCTAATGTAACCCCTGACGACAGCCCTGCAATGAACATATACCATCATGAAGATTACAATGTGCTGTTGCTGTGTGACAAGTGTCGCTTTAAGTCCAGTACGCTTCTAGCCGTGTTGTTTTGGATACAATGTATTGAGGTGTTTCTAATATACACACGGTCACATATAGATATCAGTGTTTCCCTTACCATTGTCTTGGAGGGGCGCTGTGCCCCGCCAACGATGCCCCGCGCCCCCCCCTGAAATTCAAGGTGTTTTAAAAAAAAAAAAAAAAAGTATTTATTTAAAAAAAGGAATATATATATATATATATATATATATATATATATATAGCACCAAATTGCAACTAATCTATATCTACTGTCACTTTTCACATTGAACATGTGCTCTTTTATTAACTAAACTAAACGCTTTCATTTTAAGTTGTGAGTTTAGTGTTTTTGACCCCCACTGATGCATTAAACAATTACAATAATCCACAGCTCCTCTCTCTGCTCCAGAAGATTAAAAACATAAATATCCCAATGATATCCCCCCCGCTCAGGTAGCACCCCCCCAAAGCAGTAAACCTACGGGAATAACTGGATATACAAATGTTGTGTTTGATGTAGGGTTGACAGCTGCAGGGGTTTTGTTTAAACATGGCACAAGTTGTAGAGCTGTAGCAGTATTGGCTAATGAACTAGCTGACTGAAATATGCACAAACGCCGGTGAGGAGATGCTTTTAGTTTCTTGAAATGGGAATGATTTGGTACATGTTAGTGTTTTCTGCATTGTCCTTTTACCCTCAGCACAAAATCAAATGTTCATTCATTTCCACATATCAATGTGTTCTGTGGAATAGTGTAGAAAGTGGGACTCGGCTGCCTAGTTTTCTGAATGAAGGTGAGAACAGTATGGCGGAGCCTCACAGGGGGTTGGAGTGTCAATAGTTTCTATCATTAGACACATGGCGAGAGCTGAGGCAGGCAGCTGAGCGCAGGAGAGTGCCAGCGTCAGGATGAAGCTTCTCTGGGAAACTCCTGTGAGGATATCCAACTACTTTGAATGACAGTGACACTCAAATAACAATATTTTAATGTTGTTTTTACCTCTAGAACTTCACTAATAAGGTTTCAATAGCCTATGTTTTGTGTTTTCACTATTTAAAATATTGATTGTTTATCAAATAGGGATTTATTTCTGTTAACTAATCAACTTATCAGCTGATTGTTCTAGGGCTTGTTATCATTTACATTGATTTTGGCTAATGCTTAACATCAGCTGGTTGTCCCTTAAAAGAAAACGAATATTTTAACAAACTATTTTTTATTGAACACGCTCAAATTGAAGTAAAAAAGCACGTCCGGGTCACCTGATCGTGGTGATACATTTGTTTTAATGGTACTCTTTTAATATCAGATTGTGATCTTTACCCCTTGCCTTCTTGGTGGGAAATAAGTGTTCTGGACATTTTGATCAATGGTGAAAACGGATTCTGACTGAAGTGCTGAGCAATGCTGCAAAGTAGAAACTGAAGCTGAATGAATAGTTAATCATAAGTGCCTAGCAAGGGATAGTAATGTTTTACTATGACTGCGCTACTTCTACTAACCTCCTTGAAGGTTGCTTCCATTTTCTGTCCGTTGCTTCAGTCTTGCTGCAGGTCTCCTTTGAAAAAGAGATCGTTGATCTCAATGGGATTTTCACCTGGTTAAATAAAGGCTCCAAACAATAAGTATTTAAGGGGCAGCAGAGGATTTGAAGTTTGGGGCTCGACCTCTTTATCTGAATGTATTACTTCAGGTCAGTTTTTGTATGTGGATTTTGTAAAACGTGTAAACTGCCTTGCAGTGTTTTGCTATCTAAAGTGAGATGCATGATCCTGGCTCCCTCACGGATCAATCCATTCCAAACAGTGTAGACCTGATTCAAAGGTTATTTGTAACCTGATCTGAATTGAAAGAGTGTTAGTGTTATCATCTCCCTATTGATTAAAGGAGGTGATGAAAAACAATACATAGGGAGAGTTCACAACAAGCTTGGAAGAAACCCAGACAATCATGAAATGCCAAAAAGTTTCATTTTTAAACATAAGGTATTATCGTTTTTGTTGCAAACCTGACCGTGGCTTAATGATAGTACATAACACTACTACAACAGAAACTGGTCAAATGTGACTCTTTGTTTGCTCTTGTTAAAGTAAATGTTTTAACCCATTTGTGGGTAAAGACGTGCAGACATACGATGCTACTGTGTTTGTTGAAACAGATCACCTTGTATTGTTTTTGTTTCCGTGCAGCAATAATACGACAGCTGTTTTGTAAATCCTAGTGGTTTGTGCCAACTGAATGTAAACGCTACTACTACTACACACACACCTGTGTCCAGTCTCTAGTGATGATGGTGTATCTGTAGGAACATTTTGAAATATCCAATTCTCAAATAAAACTGGATGTTAACAAAAGATTGATGCTTGTTTATTATCTCAATGTGTTTACCCTTCCTCTGTTTGTATATGTGGAGTTATTTGGCATTAGATGAAAACTAGAGTTAAACAAAGAAACTACCTACATTATGTTCAGTGTGGTCTTCAAGGATTCTTAACATCCAAAAAAACACATCTATTATTTAAATCTTAAAATAAATAAACACATTGTTGGAGTTTTAAAGAATTCCTTTTTAATTGAGAAAAAATACTAAAAGGTAAATAAAACATTAAACATAATGACAAAATAACAACCTGAAAGATATGTATTCTATCTACACATTTCGTAATTATCTAATCTAGTGGCCTTATAAAAGTGTTGGCTAAAGTAACGCAGAATATATATATTTTAATTGTAAATAATTAGAAACATTATTTATGTGCACAAGTACATATATAAAAAAGGTCCAAATGCGGGAATAAGTATAAACAGTGAATGTGTAAATAAATACATGCAAAAATATGAAAAAATAAATGAATAGGGAAAGTAAATGAGATACTGACAAACAAATAGCTACAGATCAAGAAATAAAATTAGTACATAAATGTGTCATACTTAAATTTATTAATTTTATTGTATTTCACTGTTCCTATTATTTATATTATTATTATTTCTTTCTTTTAAATCTATTTCCCGTGTCAGTTTTGGGCCCCCACCATAGACTATAGGCCCCCACACATAACAAGCTGTCTTCGTTCAGGCGGAAGGCACATGGCATGTAATGACATCTGCTGACCAGAGGAGGGCGCTCCGTCCCCGTGTATGAGTGAGTTCCTCTGGCTGCAGTTCCGCAGACGGCCGGTGTGTGGCAGCACAGCGCCGGGAGCAGAGGGAGGTGAGCCGGTCAGACCGAGCTGCTGCACCACCTACGCCTAGGCCGTGCTGGAGCTTTGAACTTGACCGTGAACGCAACACAGCCTTATGAAGCCGATGAATAAACTGAGCAAATTGAAAAAGGTCCTAATTGATTAAGAATAACAAGTATTATTAGTATAGGGTATATCATATTTGATTTGGACGTTTTAAGATTGTATAGTAAGTAAAGAAATCCATATCTGATTTATTAAAGGGTGAAATATTTGACTTTATTTAAGGATTTATACCGGACAGAGAGCTTGAACCAAAATCTTTATGCGCAGATTGCTTGTAATGTGAAAGAAAAGGCAGCAGAAGAAAAGAGCTAGGAAGGACTAATTAGAGAGTGAAGGAGGAGGGATGGACGGAGGCTGAGGATGTGGTTGCTATAGATACTTGGCATGATGCCAGGTGGAGGCAGAGCCAATTTGCATTTATTCAGATGATGACTGCTCTCTCTCTCTCTCTCTCTCTCTCTCTCTCTCTCTCTCTCTCTCTCTCTCTCTCTCTCTCTCTCTCTCTCTCTCTCTCTCTCTCTCTCTCTCTCTCTCTCTCTCTCTCTCTCTCTCTCCTACTGAAATAAACACCCATTTAATTTAATTAGTGTTCAAATATAAGCCTATTCTTAGTAACACATTTTATATTGCTAAACATAGTGGAAAGCGGCTACATTTTTAAAAACCTATGTGTGAACTTACTTCAGCTTGATTCAAACATACACAGGAGATTTTGATGAGGACACAAAGCACATCTTTCTCTAAACAAGAGGCTTGTTGCCAGGTTAGGTTTTATCATTTGAAGTTGAAAGCTTTAAAACCAGATTGTAGTTTATTTTTATTTTTATATGCAATCTATTTTTAATAATGAAAATACAAAGAATAAAATCTATGCACTGTAGTCGAGGCCTGCGATTTCATGTAGGCCTGAATCTGTTCCTCAAATGAAGCTTCAAATAAATGCTGCATTTGTTTTAGATTAAAAAAAACTCAGAATTGAATAGAAAACGTGAAGTAAAAAAGTAAAAATACAGCAGTTTTACTATAGTTATGCCTATATAATAGTCTATTTAATATTAAAGCTAAGGCTTCAGTAATTAGCCTCCTCCGAGGAGTCCGGCCTACAGTTCAGCTATAGCTAGCTTCTGTTGGGCCTCTGGGCTCAGATCATTATTTATCTTTATATATTAAAGGAACAAAATATTGAGAAAATGCTGTAACAGAAAAATTGAAAGAGAAATGTTTGATGTATCAAAGGCTAAATCTATGTTTGAGTTTACGTAATTAAAAAATGATCCCCTTTTAGTTTCCAATATAAAATGACACTGCCAGACCTACGTTCATTTAAAAAAGCATTTCATGTGAATGTATAAAATAAACAGTGACAACAATGTGTCCTGCTTTATTAACCTTAATCTGAGTGCTTTTTTTGCAAAGTTAAGAGTTTTTACTGAAAACATATTGAATAAATTCACTGGAAAAAATTAAAGTAAATTCTGTCTTTATTTAATACATATATATTTACACAATATACACACACAAAGTTTTGCATGGG